CACCAAAGGCTTCACACACACCACACACACACACACACACACCCGCACGCAGCGGGGCAGGGCCCCCTGCCCCAGGGCAGCCGCTGCTGGAAGATGATGCCCCGCGTTTCCCAAAGGTGCCAGGAGGCACGGGCCTGGAAGGGAGCTGCCATCCCACCTGTAGTGTGAGCTCCGTCTTGCCCATGCACCGCGCCTCACACTTGTCGTGCTCCGCCACCCTCCGGTTGAGTTCGCAGTAGGCCTGCTGCAGCTGGGTAGGACGGGCAGTCGGCCTGGCTAGGCTCCCTGCCGCCCTGCAGCTCCCGGTCCACCTGCTGCTCCGCCCACCTGTGCTCCTGGCCCACCTCCTTGTGACACAGCTGCTGTTCCTTAGCCAGCTGCTGCACCTTGCAGGTCATGCTAGAGGGCAGGGCAGGTCAGACAGAGGCCTTCCGGCCACCTCGCTGCCACCCTCCCACCACCAGGGCGCACCGCTGGGCCTCCGCCGCCTTGTGCTTCTGGGTCTCCTGGGCTCGGCGCTGCTGCTCCGCTTCCATGTTCTGCAGCATAGCCTCGGTGAGGCTCAGGTCCCATGACTTCAGCACACTGACCACTGCGTCCAGCGAGGCCACCTAGCAACAGATGACATTGGTCAGGCACCTTGACCCAGCAAGGAGAGACTGCACTCTCCCAGTTTCGAGCGGAGGTCACCGCCAGGCCTGCCCCTTGGTGTGGCTGCCCCACAGCCAGGGACAGGAGGGGCCCGCCGGGCCTCTGCCATGCCCAGGTGAGCGCCGGCTCCCGCAGGGGACTTCCAGGGGCTTCCCTCCCTGCCCCCAGCCCCCAGTACAGCCCTGGCTGCTGCTTGAGCAGAGGCCAGTGCACTCGGGGGCCCGCCCAGGGTGCCCTCTCCCTGTCTCCCTCCAGAGCTCCCCCTGCAGGAAACAGCCCCTGCTGCCACCACCACCCAGACCACCTCTTCCAGGAGCCCCTGGCAATCCCTGCTCTGTGCTCAGCTGTCCCGGTGTAAAGCGGCGGTGAGGCCGGAGGACTGAGGACGGGGCGGGGCAGGAGAGCTCAGAGCGGCCAGCGTGCTCCCTCACGCCAGTCCAAGCCGGCCTCCGCCTGACCCAGGCTGTTAGCTCATGGAGAGGCTGGGTTCCACATGCCCTGTGCCTGCCCCAGGGTTCAGGGCTGACTGGAAGAGGGCCCTCCTCACGGGGCACCTGCTGTCCAGGCAGCCGGCATGGGGAGGGTGAAAGGCCATCTCCCTGGCAGGGTGTTCCACGAGCACTCACTGGCCACATGGGTAGGAGCCATGACGGAGAACGTGTCTGAGACGTGTGAGCAGGTGCAAGCGGAGACGCTGGTCAGCGGGGAGATGGGCAGGTGGGTGGACGCACGAGTGACTGTGTCAGTGTGAAGGGACACCGTACCAGGCACCAGTAACCGAGAAACGGGTGGAGAGCCAGACCACGCGGCCGAGCTGCGGCCATGCCCGCATAGGAGGGGCGTCTGAGCAGAGGGGGCCGGGCAGACGGGGGTGGTCAGTGAGGCGAGAACTGGCTGCAGGCTGGGGTGACTCCATGGCAGGTGGCAACGAAGGGGTGACCACAAGAATGTCGAAGTGCACAGCTCAGGGTAAGGACGGGGCGAGGGGAGGCGGAGAAACGTGGGCCACACACATGTGAACATGTGTCCAGTGACATCTCTGGGAGTGACGAACCGAAATGCAGAGCGAAGTGCGCAGACTCGACGACTAGCCCGCTCCAGCCGGAGAGCTATGAGCTAGAAGGCGTGGTAGAAGGAGGCACCCAGAGCAGGCTGAGACAGATGGCGGGAAGAGCGAGGGGACAGCGGTCGCTGGGCACCGCCTGCAAGTGCCCACCTCCCGCCTCCCGCTCAGCGAGGGCTGTGCCCCTGGTGGGCAGGCGGGCAGCGGAAGCCGCTCCTAGCTGGTGCTCCCGGGCTCTT